TGTTGGGTTCATGGTTGGACTCGATGATCATTTCCAATCGAGGCAGTTCTGGGATTCTGTCGTCTCTCCGCCCCTCTGCGCTCAGTCCTGTGTGGTAAAAGGGAACGTACAACACGTGCACGATCAGTAACTGACAGAAATGAAGAAAAATGAAGAAAAATCACTTCCCCTTTGGCGCAGCGCGGCGTTCCCCTGACACCACCCAGCTGGAGCAGCCACATGATCCCAACCAATCCCTCCAGCCGAGTGGTTAATATTTATAAACCTGCCGTTTATCTACAGCAAATCTGATGGGAATCTTAATTCTCTAAGCCAGCAAGATGAACCTTCACCAAAAATAAAAGCAAGTGTTTTCCTTTTGAAGGTAGAACAGCTCAAAGAGGAGATCTGTGAGTATCAGAAGAGCGAGAAGCAAGGACTTCCATTGCCTGCGCCAACCGAGACTGAGGAAGTCGCAGCATCTTTGCTGCAGGTATTTCCAAGGGCTTTTTATTTGGAAGCAGACGGAGCAGACAGGCCCTTCTCTGCCTTTCAGCTCTGTGCTGTAAATGAAGACGCCCGGCTTGTAGTGCAGAGACACTTGTGTTCTCCTTTCTACGCCCGTGGGAGCGTGTCCTGTGCAGGTGTGACGCAGGATTTGTGCGGGGCGTGATGAATACACTGTTGTGTTGGCGTAAGCTCGTACCCACTAGTGCCTTCGTGTTCTTATGGGTGTTGGAGTTTCTCCTGCAGCTGGTGGATTATCTAATGCAGGTTGATGTAGCTCATGTTTTCTGGTTGTTTTATTTCCTTACGAGAGACTCGGGCAGCTTTGGAATCACATGTTGCTAAGATTTCAGTCTTAATTATCTGCTAACTTTTCGTTTTCTCTTTGGTCACAGGCCACAAAGGATGAAGGGAGGGTTGAGAGAGACCACGTTTCAGGCAAAGGTGGCTCAGAGCAAGAAGAGAGATATCCGAGTAGTGAAACACTTCATAAAAGGTGAGCAACTAGAAATCCTTCTTCAGCCCGTGTATTTTCACGGTGGTTGTCTGGTGCTCTGGTTGCTGGTAATCTGTCTGGCAGAGTGGACTGAATATTGGGTTCTTTAGGATTCTCTTGGGTACCAACTTTATTCTTCTGTTCCCCAATCAGAGAGTTTGGAGGTAATGCAGTCCTGAGTGGGTCTGGAGCCCTTGGTGTTGAGAACATGGGCTGTTTTCTGACCCTTTCTCCAGTTTGTTGCTTTCCTGAAACAATAAACTTGGGCTTCTGTGACTCTCTGCAGAATAAAGTGTTGTTTTCAAAGTTGTTTTGTCACTGGGAAGATTTCCTCTGGATTTGGTTGCTGTCCAAGGGTGTAACAAAACACTCGACTTCCAGACGTACCAGTATGTAAACTGGGATTTTTAAGGGAAGTCAGAGCTTCGTTCTCCTGTGACCTGCTCAGGAAGCTGCTGCTGAGACTCTCCTGGCAGGTTCAAGGAGGAAAGAGGGGTCTGATCCCATCCTTCTGTCTCTTTGGGTTTTTTGACTTTCAAATGTCCAAGCCTGTTCCTGGACCTCAAGCAGCTGAATTTTTCCAGTGCCTCTCTGCTGTTTAGCTTCCTCATACCTGACCAGTTTTCTCCTCAGACCTTCATCATTACTTGTGTAGAGCCCGTCACCAGTAATTCCCGTGCATTGCCATCTAAATAAGAGAAGGCCCAGGTCGTGCAGGGTGTGAGACTCCAATTTGATAGGACAGAAATATTCCACAGTGAAAACCACCTTGGCTCCTCTTCACCAGTGATGAGCGATTTGGATGTGTCAATGTGTAGCCTTGGTGATGTTGGTCTTTGGTGCGTAGGTGCCGAGAGGTGATTGAGAACGTCGAGGGCAGGAATTCACAGCTCCTTCGCAAGCTGCAAAAGCTGGAACAGGAGCAGGAGGATTTGGTGGAGCGCAATGAAGAGCTGGAGTCAATTTTGGGAGAGACACAGATCCAAACCGAGCAGGAGAAGGAACAGTTTGAGAGTGAGGTGGAGGGACTTCACCAGAAAGTAAGTAAGGAATGGAGGAGATCAGCTTTGGTGTTGTTTGATTTTAGCTGCTTTTCTCTCTGCATGTTGATTGGTAAAATGAAATGATGTTTGACCTGAACCTGCTTTGTTTGGTTTGACAAGAAATACAACCAGCAAAATCTGCCAGTTTCAGAAAATAGGGCTAAAGAAGGAAAAAATGCCAGCAGTAAGTGACACTTGCTCAGAGGTGCAGGTTTCCCCAGTGTTACAGCAGCGTGGTCTTTTCCAGCTCCTGTCCCCCCTCCTTGGTGCTTGGCAAGCAGAGGTGACCAGCTAACGTGCCTCCTCCTGCATCCACAGGAGTGACACCAGGCAACGCTCCCTTCCCGTACGGCCTTTCCGTACGTGCGGGCTGTGCCCCCCTCAGTTTCTTGGCTGAGCTGCAGCAAAGGCTTTTTGTCTCAAATTCAAACTGCATCTTTTTTCTCTGGAGCTATTTCTTCAGAAGCTTTTGTAGCTTAGAAGCTCTAATTTCCCCCAAGAAGCTGTCCTAGATGGCATCAGTGCTCCTGATGGACTTCAGCCTTGGTCTCCTGCAGGAACTGCTTTTCCACGTTGGATGGTTGTTTCTTCTGCCTGTAGTTCCTGCTGCAGAACAAGTTCCAGGAAGCTCCAAGTTCTCTTGAGGCTCAGAAGAGAGGCAAGAGGTTTTCTTGGAACCCTTGAGTTGTCCCTTTAACCTGGCACCCATGACAGAAGTCCAGACTTTGACTTGAATCCCTAATCGTTTTCCAGACCTGTCCAACATGCAAATAGTCACTGTAGGACACTGATGCTCCTTGATCCCAGGAAAGGTCACCAGTTAAGCGTGCTGGTGACAAAAGATTGCCCTTTTGGTTTCTCCTCAAGCACAGCATGTTCTAGACCTGTCAGCCTGTGTGGCAAATGCTGAGGCACTTCTGGGTGTGGGGGACCAGGATCTGCACTGTCTGGGGACATCCCTGCTGAAAAGAACAAATTTGAGGGGACAGTGAGTTTCTTTTGTCACCTGCTGTCTCTTGGTGCAGCATCTGCTGTTGAATGGGGACACATGGGCATGGCTGGACACATCTTTTTGAAGAGCTGTGATAAGCTGATGCATGTGGAGAAGCTCTGCTCAATCTTGATCAAGATGTGACCTCACCAGTCTCTTCCTAACCCGTGTCCTACCTGATTTCGGGCCACCTCATCCCAGGGCAGTCTGGATCTCTTCCTGTTAATAGGACAAGTTCAGTCAGATCATCCTTTGACTTCAGGAGGTTGATGGAAAGTCTTTGTTGTTTCCACTCATTTGTACGTGTCGGGGCACTCCTGGGAAATCGCAGGCGTGGAGCATCACGTCGATTATCTGGTTTACCAGAACCATGGCAACGTGAGAGGCCTCCTTGCAACACCTGCAGAGCCATCTCCATCCATGTTCTGATCAAGGATTAAGTTATTGCTGAAGCTTCTCAGCCTGATGCTGCCTCTGTCAGAGTGGTCTTTAGCCTCGTTCAGCTGGGTGGATGGACTCTCCATCCCTATGGAGGTAGCTCTGTGAAGAGCACCTGCGCTTACTGACTGGTTTGTCACTGCTTGTCCCCAAGGAAAATACTGTTTGCAGCATCACTCCCTGGGTTGTGATCCCTTACAGACAGGCCAGCTGAAGAATTTCTAGCCAGAGAGAACAGAGGAAGCCATAAGTTGGTCTTGCTAGATGGGTAGGTGGGCTTCTCCCCAAAAAGGCTGACTGAGGAGGTCTTTTCCTTTGGCTGAAGCCCTGCTGCTTGGCCAAAAGCTCTTCCTTCTTTGGACTGAGTTGCCCTCTCCCCTCTGCCTGTGACTCAGATGCTCTCTGCCGTGATCGTGGTCCTGGCAGCAGGACCAGCCTGCAGAGGACCTTGGATTTCTGAGATGAGAAGGAGGGGCTCACACAGGTTTTCAGTCAGGTGTGAACAGTGCTTGGACATGTCCACACACTTGCTTTTGGGTTACAACGTGATGTAGGAGATATGCCCTCACACATGTACTATCCCATGTAGATCCTGAAGTAGCCACACGTCTCCAGGATGAATTGTGCAAAGAAAGAAAAGATGAATTACTTGTCAGGAGCCTCTGGGTGTGAGGGAAAAATCTCTAAATACAGTGAAGCAGGCTGAAGGCATGTTCAGATATCTTCATTGTGTCAGCAGACATTGTGTTTCTAAGCAGACATCATATATAGCTGAGGAGCTGAGAGCAGGATCTCTGCTAGGAATGGCAAAAGGTCTGTCCACCATGACTGGGCTATTCACAGAATCCCAGAATGGCCTGGATTGGAAAAGCCCTTTCAGATCATCGAGTCCAACCATGAACCCAACACTGACCAGTCCCCGACTAACCCATGTCCCTCAGCACTGTGTCTACACGACTCTTCAATCCCTCCAGGGATGGGGACTCCACCACTGCCCTGGGCAACCCCTTCCAATGCCTCAGAACCCTTGCAGCAAAGAAATTCTTCCTCACATCCCATCTCAACTGCCCTGGCCACAACTGGAGCCCATTTCCTCTTGTCCTGTCCCTTGGGCCTTGGTTGAACAGACCCACCCCCACCTCTCTCCACCCTCCTCCAAGGGACTTGCACAGAGCCACAAGGTCTCCCCTCAGCCTCCTTTTCTCCAGGCTCAACACCCCCAGTTCCCTCAGCCACAAGGGAACTCAGCACACTTGTGCTCCAGACCCTTCCCCAGCTCCGTTCCCTTCTCTGGACACGCTCCAGCACCTCCATGGCCTTCTTGGACTCGGGGGCCCAACACTGAACACATTTTGTTTCAATCAGGGTTTGTTCAGCACACACTAAAAGGTTTCCCACTTTCCCACTGAAGCAGAATGAACACAGCCCTTCACAAATCAAACAAGATGTGTTTCCAGTTTGGAGAAATCCCTTCTCTCTCAGGGTGGTGTGAAGCAGAGCCCTGGGAACGCCGCTTTGTGGGACGCAGGGTGAATGCAGTGGGGAGCACGAGTAGCCAGGGAGATGCGAGGTGATTCATCTGGCATGAGCTTGGCAGCCACTGTAGCTGAAAAAGAGACAGAACTGAGACACACAGGGCAGTGGAGAAGAGACAGGCAGGTCGTGGGATGGAAGAAGAGGTGGGTTAACCCTTGGTTAGATCGAGCATCTGCTCAGATGGAGGGTTGCAGAGCTGCACCCTTCATCTCCAAGGGGCTGTTGGGTGCCTGGGAGGTGAGGAGGGAAGGGCTGTGCGAAGGCAGGTGCACTGGAGCCTGGAGAAGTCAGCGCTGCTGGGCGTTTGCCAGCCTGTCCCATGTGAGAAGGACTTGGAAGTCTTTTCTGTTTTGGCACGCCTACAAAATTCCTGGCTAATGAGGCCACTGGCTCAGAGCGAGGACACCAGGGTACAATGTGAGTATTGTTCTGCCGCTGGCACAGGATTTACGTGCGCAACTTAAATGCTTAAGTTAGCGGCTTGGAGGAAAAATAAGGAAAATGATGGAAATACTTAGCTGGGTATCAACTTTGTGACCAAAGGTTGGCTGAGGGGTGGGGAGAGGAGCTGCATTTTGCCTTTAAGATCCTTTCCAGAACTCCAAAGTCTTGTTGGACCCCAAACGATCATCTCGTCATGCGAGAGGAAGGGGGTTTCTTGCCCTCTAGCTCTTTGTAAGAGGTCTGGGTGTTTCACCGCATGGATTTGCTTTTAAAACCTTGATTGGGTAACATAATCATCTCACAAATCAGAATCACAGCGTGTTAGAGACCGTTCCCTGCTGGGAGCTTCAAGAGAGCCATCTTGTGCCTGAAGCCTGTCAGTGACAGCAAAGCTCCTGGGCTTTGACCTGCTGCTTTGTGGTCACTTTAACTGGACTGGGCTTGACAGAGACTTGGCACTTCTGCAGCTTTGGCTTCTTGTTTGGAAAGGAATGAGAAAGTGTCTCTGAATAAGTGCAAAGAAATGAGGGTGAGAGGTGTGAGGGATCTTACGTGCTTCACCATGTGCTCACCGGTGCGAGCAGGGTGGTGGGTGTTGGTTGGATGGTTATGGGGTATGCTATGTGCAGGTGAAGCTGGGCTTCATCTCCTCCCAGTGTCCTGGGCTTCATCTCCTCCCAGTGTCCTGGGCTTCATCTCCTCCCAGTGTCCTGGGCTTCATCTCCTCCCAGTGTCCTGGGCTTCATCTCCTCCCAGTGTCCTGGGCTTCATCTCCTCCCAGTGTCCTGGACTTCATCTCCTCCCAGTGTCCCCACTTGCTCTGACCCTTGTTCAGTGAAAGCCCAGCTCAGGGTGGTGGGGAGGCCAGCTTGGTGGTTTAGAAAGAAGAAAGCCAGCACCAACTTTCTTCTGAGCTTGTGCTGAAGGACAGGCTGCTGAATGCTGCTGGCTGGCAGCGGAGCAGAGTGGCTGTGAGTGCCAGGACTCGGATTTTGCAGAAGGGTCTGCAGGAACCGTGATGGGGAGGAGAAGCTGGACTGCTCCTCGCTCCTTTAAGCCCTTTAAAACTGCAGGAATAATAATCGTTCCCCTGAGATCCCCCACAGGGTTGACTCCTCAGGGGGGATGGTACAAATGCAGAGTGAGCACTTGTCCAGACATCTCTTGCCTGCCAGGAGAAGCACAGAGGTCAGCGTTTTGCTGGCTCAAGTTGAGAGTCCTTGGAGCCTTGCAGGAGGGAGTTTACAACCTCCTTTGGGTGGTGGAGGGACCAGGACAAGTCCTGGTGGACCAGGTCCAATGTCTGCTTGGATAAGATCAGCTGTGGGGGAGCGGGCGCTGTGACAGGATGGGAAAGGAGGATGCCCTGTGATATAAATCAGGGTCTTGTGGGGTCCTCTGTGTTGGGAGAGCAGCACGTCAAAAGCCCACAAACTGTGGGAATTTAAGTCCTTGGAATTTAACCACATGTCCTGGTCATTTCTCTCCTTTTTGTGGAGCAGGGTTCTTTCATATTCTGATTTGGCCTTGGATGGCTCCTTCACCCTCTGAAGCAGCAGAGTGAAAGATGTGAGCTGGAGCTCGCCCACGCTGGCGGCCGTCCATATCCCTCCTACTCCTCGCTTGCAAACATGGAGCTTATTTTGTAATCGCAGCACTAGTAGTAGTGCCTTTAGTACTAGTTGTGAGTACTGGTTTGGTTTTAACTTGTGGTTTTTCTATGTTAAGATCACAAGTTTAGAGACGGAGTTACTTGAAGTGCAGAAGAACAAAAGTGAGATGAATGAGGCATCATCTGGAGCCCAAGAGATGCAAGAGGTAAGAGGTTTTCCTCAGAAATGAAATTGGTTTGTTTAGAAATGTGTTGAATGAGCATCTCCTGTGAATGTTCTTTGTCACCATCTTCTGAGAATTTGTAGCCCATCAGCTCCTGCAAGACAGATGGATGTCTTTGGAGGAGAGCAGCTAACGTGCCAATGTGATCTCCGTGAGAACTCATCTCTTAGGAGGTTGTCTTGCCTTCAGCTCTGCAGAGCTGCTTGTCTCCCCAGTGAGGGTGAAGGGTTTACACGTGTAAAGGTGCTCCACTCATGTTTTGGTTTCAGGGAAGCCTAGGCAGCGCGCAGGCCCATTGACAAGGCTGTTTTCCAGCTGGTTGTGGACTGGCTTTGCTGTTGATTTGTTACGTGACAGCCAGACAGTTGGATCTACCAGGTGTCTAAACCAAACAGAGCTTATTACACGTGGGAGAGACATTTCCAAGGTATCTTGGGTCAGGTGGAAGCTCCAGGCCTTCTGAGGTGTCCTGCCAGCCCTGGGTACAAGGTACAGGAATCCTGCTGACAACTTTGGAGAACTGTTTTTCCTGTCCTTGTTTTCTAGAAGACACTTTTCCTGCAATTTGTTTCTTTTTTGCTGAGAATGAATGATACTGTAGAAGTGACTCTTTAATTTTGCTTGTTCCAGATATTGGAAAGCTGTCAGGAAACGATAGAGAAGTTGGGAAGTCGGCTGGGAGAGCGGAGAGAATGGAGAAAGCAGCTTGCATCTGAGCTTGAACTGTTACGAGAAGATCTGAAGGCTGAGAAGAAGGTACTGGGCAGCCAGGTACATCCAGCTCTAGAGTGGGACTCCCTGCAGGAGGCAGTTGCTTTTTGTGACTCCATAAAACATCCCCAGTTGTCCCCCAAGTGCGTTGCTTGGCTTCTCCTGATGCGTTTCTCTAATCCAGCAAGTTTCAAAGCGAGTTTCTTTGGCAGATGGTTTTAAATCTCTCTGCTTTAATGCAACTGTCTCTAACTCTCTAATTTATTTTTTTTTCCTTTCAGTGACTCTAATAACAAAACAGTAATTCAAAGTTTATAGCCAAAGCCCCCTTCTCTAGAGGGCAGAGTGGAAGTTTTCAGACTTAGGTGTTTATTGCAGAGTTATTTGTGACCATAAGGCTCATGAGCCTTCATCTCCTGGTGTCACAACGCGGCAGGGTACTCGTGGATTTGAGCCAAGACCTCCCTGCAGAGCGACATCATGGTTACCTGTGAGCTGGGGTTGCTTTTCTGAGGATAATTCTGAATCTGTTTCACATGGGTGAAATTAATGTTAATATTAATGTTAACATTATTAATATTAGAATATTAATATTAACTTTAATATTAATAGTATCTTTCTTAACCAGAATATGGCATGATAAGAAGTCAGAACACTTAAGGAGTCAGAGGAGTCTGCATGAGCAGCTTGTTGGGATCCTGGCTCTGCTTTTTGTTACGTGCCCTAAGGACCTCCGTGCACTTTGCTTGAAGGGATTCAGCTGCTGTGTAGACTTCTGTTGGGTTTATCTGTGCTGGGGGAGTTGCTGGGACTCTTGTGTTCCAGTTGGACCATAGGGGAGAGAGAGAGTGTGTGATGCCAGCAAAATTGCATGATAGCTGGCGCAGACGTAGGCAGGATAAGGGCTGAAAATTAGGCTAAAAATTGAGGAGAGCTGCAGATCTGTGGCCTGGATCAGGGAGACAAGGGGGACCTGAGGGAGAGCGGCAAACAGGGGTGTTCCATCTGTTACAAACCCCATTCTTTAATACTCTGAGAGGCCTTAAAGCAGCTGTGAGTCATATCACTTCCTTGGACGTAAGTAAAAAACAATGAAAGTCCTGAACTGTTGGCACAACTGCACGTGCACGAGTCTTACTGGAGGAACAGTGGCATCTAGAGGACAGGACTCTGAGAGTGCTGTGAGGCAACAAATTCACGTTGTAAAAGCTTGGGATGCAGACCAGCCATAGCATCACAGAATGGCTTGGGTTGGAAAGGACCTTAAAGATCATCTAGTTCCAACCCCCCTCTGCTGTGGACAGGGTTGCCAGCCACTAGATCAGGCTGCCCAGGGCCCCATCCAACCTGGCCTTGAGTGCCTCCAGGGATGAGGCATCCACAGCTTCTCTGGGCAACCTGTGTCAGTGCCTCACCACCCTCTGGGTGAAAAATTTCCTCCTAATATCTGGCCTAAATCTCCCCTCTCTTAGTTTAAAACCATTTCCCCCTGTCCTATCACTACCTGCCCATGTCAAAAGTCACTCTCCCTCCTGTTTAGAAGCTCCCTTCAAGGACACAATGAGGTTGGTCTCCCTGGGGCCTTCTCTTCTCCAAGCTAAACAAGCCCAGCTCCCCCAGCCTTTCTTCATAAGAGGTGCTCCAGCCCTCTGATCATCTTCATGTCCTCCTCTGGACCTGCTCCAACAGCTCTACCAAGCCTTCCCAAAGAGCAGTTTAGGAAGGGGCTAGGTCAGTCTGTGACTACACACGTGAAAAGGAATTGTCTGATTTTGGGGGATGATGGGGAAAACAGGAAAAGTCACTCTTTAATCTTTACATCTCAATGGTTTAATCTACTCATGGTCCAGGGTAAGTAAATCAAAATCATACATCATGATTTAAATCAAAATCATACATCCCTGTAAGTGTGGCTGTAGTTCAGCCAACAGCTGCCTGGTGGTTTTGCCGAAGGAAAGGATTATTTTTCCATCCAAGGGATCACGAGATGAAATCCAGTGGCCTGTGTCAGACTGTAACAGTCTTTAAAACAGGGGATTTTGCATGTGTTTGGTGGGATTCCTGACTTCACAAATGAGTTAATTCCCTTCTGCTGGAGTAGCTGTATTGAGATGAATCCTTCACTAACAGAGCACTGGAGTTCAGCCTGGCATCAAATCATGGTGTTCTCATGGGGGATACACACCTGGAGGTCAAGACCTGAGGTTGTTCAATGTTGTGTTTATCAGGATGTCCAACACATAGAATGGGCGAGGAAATTGGATGTTATTTTTGTTCTTGTAAATTTGAATGAGATGCTATGAGCTGATGCATTTGTTTGCAACGCTCTTCTTGTTTTTAAGAGGTTTTTTTGACATGTAGGAGGAGGAAGCTTTTTCTGAGCTTGTAGTCAGGGGTGTATTACATCCACTAACTCCTGTTGTTTCCTCACCGGGGATTGCCTGACTCAAAATCAGAGCTTACAAGCCATTGTGATAATTTCCCCAGTCTCCAAAGATCATCAGCAAGCAGGCTCTCATTAATGAATCCCAGGAGAAGCTACAGAAAGATAATGCTTTGTTAGATACAGAGGTGGGAAATGTAAAGAAATCCACATTGTTCTGGTGCCTGATGCAGATAGAAGTTGCTAGTTTATGTTGCTCATATATAAATAAATTCATCTTGGTGTAGATTATAAGACCTAGAATTAAAATATTAACTCTAGCACACCCTTGGGGAGAGCTATTGATTACAAAGCTTTAGGAATCAAAGTCATCGTTAGCATTTAGTGGGCTTAAGAGCATTTCCCTTTGGAGGATTTGGGTTCACCACAGCTTAGCAGGATATATTAGACTAGACAGATTTTGGTTCCAATCCAGTTCTGGAGTTCCTGTGTCCTTAAGCACTCCTCATGCCTTCCTTTCTTGCCCCTTTTATTTTCTTGGCATCTTCTCTCCATGCCTCAGGTTTTGGATCTGCCATTGCCTGGTGTTAAGGCATCAGGTGATGCTGAAAGTGGAAAGCAGCCATCCCTAGAAAGTTGTGTTGGGTTGAACCTGTACTGGGCACTGGTGAGGCTGCAGCTGGAGTGCTGGGTTCAGTGTTGGGCCCCTGAGTCCAAGAAGGACATGGAGGTGCTGGAGCGTGTCCAGAGAAGGGAACGGAGCTGGGGAAGGGTCTGGAGCACAAGTGTGCTGAGTTCCCTTGTGGCTGAGGGAACTGGGGGTGTTGAGCCTGGAGAAAAGGAGGCTGAGGGGAGACCTTGTGGCTCTGTGCAAGTCCCTTGGAGGAGGGTGGAGAGAGGTGGGGGTGGGTCTGTTCAACCAAGGCCCAAGGGCCAGGACAAGAGGAAATGGGCTCCAGTTGTGGCCAGGGCAGTTGAGATGGGATGTGAGGAAGAATTTCTTTGCTGCAAGGGTTCTGAGGCATTGGAAGGGGTTGCCCAGGGCAGTGGTGGAGTCCCCATCCCTGGAGGGATTGAAGAGTCGTGTAGACACAGTGCTGAGGGACATGGGTTAGTCACAGGGGACTTGTCAGTGTTGGGTTCATGATTGGACTCGATGAGCTTAAAGGGCTTTTCCAGTTGAGGCAATTCTGGGATTCCATGACTTGGACAGAGGGTGCTCTCTGTGTGGGACAGCTGGGTACTCACCTTGCACTCCTACTGTTTTTCCAGGAGTTGCTAGTTTTGTAAAGAAATAGGGCACATGATATAAAGCCCTGAGAACTACAGATGGGCAACAGAAGGATGAAATCAAATAAAGAAATGTGATTTGATGGTAGTTTACAATCATCTGCTTCCCATGCAGATAAAAGGACTTGCATGTGTGTTTTCAGGGATGAAGAACTATGATAATTTAGCTACAGAATCACAAGCCATGTCTTGATGGAGTCCCCAGGTCTCCTTATACTGCTCAAAAGGTTTCCAGGGGATGAAAGAGAATCAAAGTTATGGTGTTTTCTGACCTTACAGGTCTCTGAACTCCTACAAGAGAGAGAACAGATTAAAAAACGTGAGCAGAAACATGAAGATCTACGTACAGATGAAAAGACATACGAAGAACAGAGGGCTAAAATAGTATTTTTGGAAGAACATATCAAAAACTTGAGGGATGAACAAGAACTGCTCTGGTAAACCTTAACAAGGCCTGTGGTACTTTCTGCTCCTTATTTTTGCTGATGAATTTTTTAAGTCTTTTATAAATCTCCGTAGTGCTGCTTCTGGCAAAAATGGGGACAGCAGCTTTGTGTCGTCCTCATCGAGTAGTCACCTCGGTGGAGATTTTGGTAACTAAGCAGTTCCCTTAGTGACATTATAATCAGTCAGGAGTAAACCTTTTTTTTCTGCAGCTACTTAAGATTCTGAATAGCAGAAGTGAGAGCTGTCCTTAGGGGGGAGGCTTCCTCTCCTGGAGCGAGGTGCTGTTTGGACTGACATGGTCCCAAAAAGCTCCCGTCATAGGCTTGGGCTCCCTGGGGCCAACTGCTGCCGGCGGCTGATGATACACATCCTGCTGTGGGTTTTAGTTGTCCTTGGAGGAGAGATGTCAGCAGGCACTGAGGTTGTCAATAAAGCTCTTACAGGTCCCCTGACTCCCCTTTTTCAGTAGATGTGCTGGTTGCACTGGGAGCACTGGGCTGCAGCCAAACGCAGCCGCTTGCTCACCCCCTGCTCCATGGGACAGGGGAGAGTATTGGGGGCAAGAGTAAGGAGACTCGTAGGGGGACAGAAGAACCATTTAATCATGGAAATAAAATAAAACTTAAAATAATACTCATATTAAAATAATAATGATAATAATAGTAATAAAATATGCAAACAAGTGACACCCAGTGCCATTGCTCACCACCCGCCCACCAAGCCCGGCCCGTTCCCAGATCACGATCCCGCAGGAGCCACAATCCCGACCCGAAACCACAATCCCGGGAGAGCCAGAGCCCGAGCCAAAGCCAGAGAGAGCAAGAGAGGAAGAGCCCCTCATGGATCTCCTGCCCATGGGGGACAGGAGATGGAACAGCCCCTTGGCAGAGCCCAATGCCCATGGAGCTGATCCATTGCAATATTCCTCACCCCTGAGATCTTGCGCTTGCAGAGGGACAAACACAAAGTCCTTCAGTGCCAGGGACACAAATGCAACATGGGGATGTTCTCAGCGTTTCTGTCCCAACAAATCCCAGCTGAACCCAAACCCCAGTGCTGTTCCAGCTGCTGAACAGAACCAGCCCTGTCTCAGCTCACACCAGGGCAGCAGAGCAATACAGATTTGGAGCTGGAGCTTCCATGCTCAGGCTCTCATCACTAGGTAAAAGCTTGGACTAAATCCAATATAGTTACAGTCAGCTCACTCACCTGGATAACTAGGTACTGAGACAAGGTAAAACCAGGATAAGACAGGTAGGTTAGCTTGTAGGACATATAGTTTGGATTGAGAGAAGTGAGACAGCTTGATCAGGAGACCTGAGCCTGTACTTCCATACAGGGAGGTGTTGTGCGGGTGCTTCTGTGCTGCTTGCGAGGGCCGACGCGCTCAGGTGGCCCCATGCGAGTGTTTCTTCACCAGCAGTTAATCTACTCACCAATGACTGAGGCCTGACCCTTTGGACACGTATTGTTTTGTGGGTCGATGTCCAGGAGAGACCAACCCTTGCCCAGAACTGCTAGACCCAGGATTAAATCTCCTCTGGAGCCTCCCGAGCCACTCGAGCGTTACCTTGAGCGTTTCATCGGACTCTTGTATCCCAAGTTTTTCCCCTTCAGAGGGTGGTTTCCCTTGGATGTGTGTAGTTATCTCTCTCTTTTCCTATTTCTCCTTCAAGTTCTGAATTACTAGAAAGCAACAAGAAGAGGGAGGAGTTAGAAAAGCACCTAAAAGAGAGCAAAGAAGAAAAGCGATTGTTACTGGCAGAAGTTGCCCAGCTCAAACAAGATATCCTGGCTGCCCGGGAGCAGAGCGAGGGCGCGCTTGAAGAGCCTTGGAGGGTGAGCCAAGGGGTGGTGCACAGAGAGAACGGGTTCCTCGTGTCTCAGAGCTCTGCAGGCAGTTTAGACGGGAGCGTTAAACAGGTATGGGCAGCTTTGCCATTTGCACCCTACTTTTTTTTCACTGATTTGATGGCAAAATCTAATTAAAGTGGGCTGGGAGCCAGCGCAGGCAGTGCTGTAGTGAGAGCGCGCTGGGGAGACGACAGGCTGACTGATTTCCTTGAGGGAAATATTTGGTAATGAGGAATGTTGTCATTTGTCCCACATGAAATCCTTGTCTGTAAGTTGGGGAGGTATGGAC